GTAGAATCGTCTTCCCGGGTTCATCGTTGATTGAGTATCAAGCTGTGCTCTTCCACCTCAAAAACAATGAGTAGGAATCCCATAGTCAAATTCATCATCGTGACATCGATCCGCAAGAATTCCATTGGGCATAGAGGTTGACCTTGAGCTATCAGACATGTTCGATTAAGAAGAAGATCGAAATGGAAAAGAAGAATCAATCTCCCAATTTCGGACCCCCAATTTGAGATGAAGAAGAAGATGTAAAATAAGAATGAATCTCCCAATTTCGAACCCTAAGTTTTAAGAGAATTCCAGTGTCGTTTTTTAGCAGAAGCAAAACGGTGTCGTTTCGACATCCGTTATGTTCCTAAACGGAATTCAACGTTGCCACGTCATCGATACGACTGAGGGCTATTTAGCGGGTGACTTTAGACTTCATGGGGTTGACTTGCATAAGTCGGATTTGGAGGGTTAAATTGCAATCAAAAATGACTTGGAGGGTTTTTTTGCAGAAAACCCTTTTATTAATTATAACTAAAACTAAAGGGCTATTTTGCAATTAATTAAAAATAAGTCATCTTTCAGACAACCCCAAAATTTAGTAAAAAATTCTACCAAAAACCAAAAAAGTTAGTCGGCTTAACCGGAAACCTTTCCTCTCCTCTCCATCGTTTGTTAGGTCTGACATAATACCCGAATCCGAAGAACCGATCTGAACCCGACCCAAAAAACCCGATTCAAACCCGAACCCGAAATTTTCAAATACCCGAACGGTCTAAACTTCAAAATCTAACCAAACCCGAATAGGTACCCAAACATACCTCAAATATAAGTATCTATACTAAGTTATGATCCACGCTACGCGTGAGTCTATTTTTAAAAATTTTAATAATTTTTTGTGTGACTAAAAATATTTGTTGAAAATTTTGAGATATATATTTTTATGTCTACTTATTGTTAATAGTTTAAATTCCTTGAATTTTACAATTACCATAACAAATAGTTCAATTTATATACATAACTAAACATAACTCTAATACAACTTTTAGGTTTTACAACATTTATCAAAACAATTTTTTTTGTCCATAACTCTCTCTTTAGCTTTAGATATTTTGGATGACCGAATTTTTACGTATGAAATAAATTGTTGTATGGAGAATAACTTCGACGACTTTTTCATTTTGGTATCCGCAAATTTACTATTATTTTTCGTTTATCTTCCCTGCATTAGTTAGTATAGCTCTTCTAACAATAAGATTCTATACAGAATTATATTCAAAAGTTTATCTGTACTTTCTTATTAACAACTCATATTCTCTCACATTCTTTTCAATATGTATATAAATTCTCGTCTTCACAATTTTTTTGGAGAGCTATCACTCTCTCTATCTTTTTGCAAGCCCTCGTTTTATTTGTTTCGTTATTTTTTACGGTGTCTCTTTCAATCCTCTTATGATTTTGTCTTAGCAATATGTTCCCTACCTTCCAAACTTTTCACATGCTCCATATTTCTTTTTCGAAAATCTCTTCCTTTCCTTGTTAGTATAAGCCTTTTTCAATCTCATCGAGAGGTAGGTAAAGTCAAATCAATAAACTCTTCGTATGAATTAGTAAGAAAAAATCTTTTTTGCTCTGTTTGGTTTTCTATTAATCTAAGAAAATGTTTTAGCTTCTAAATTGGGTTTTAACTCTATCACTTCACTCTTTTGATGCAGTTTAGATCCTCTTCACCTTCACACTTCCCAGACTGTTAGACCTCAACTTATATCTTTGGGAACTTGATTCAAATTGATA